AGAGGGTAGCCTTGACAGCAGTGGTGCCTTTGGTGGAAGAAATGGAAAGAATAAATATCCAGACCTCATTCTCCTTCCTTTCTCCTGTTTCCTGCCAGCAAGACTTGTCTGAACACAGAAGCAAGAAGACAGGGGACCTAGATATGTGATCCCTACAAGCTAGGCCCCAGGGCACAGAGTTTAGGCAGAAAGTATGGACAGTGGATCTGGAGGACAAAGGATAGTTGTCCAGGAGAAAGGAAAAGCCTCCACTCAAAAATTTCTTGGCCAGGCGCGGTTGCTCATGCCTGTAATCCCAGCACTTTGGGAGGCCGAGGTAGGTGGATCACGAGGTCAGGAATTCAAGACCAGCTTGGCCAACATGGTGAAACCCTGTCTCTACTAAAAATACAAAAATTAGCTAGGCATGGTGGCGCACGTCTGTAATTCCAACTACTTGAGAGGCTGAGGCAGGAGAATCACTTGAACCTGGGAGGTGGAGTTTGCAGGGAGCTAAGATTATGCCACTGCACTCCAGTCTGGGCGACAGAGCAACACTTTGTCTCAAAAAAACAAAAATTTATTGGCTGCTCTTCTACATATACTTCACCAGTGACTACAGTCTTATAATATGAGTTACTGTTAAAAACCAGCCTGAGGCCAAGCATGGTGGAGCACGCGTGTAATCCCAGCACTTTGGGAGGCTGAGGTGGGTGGATCACCTGAAGTCAGGAATTCCAGATCAGCCTGGCCAACATGGCGAAACCTCGTCTCTACTAAAAGTACAAAAGTTAGCTGGGGCATGCCTATAGTCACTCAGGAGGCTGAGGCATGAGAATTGCTTGAACCGGGGAGGGCGAGGTTGCAGTAAGCAAAGATTGCACCACTGCACTCCACCCTGTGTGACAGAGTGATACTCAGTCTCAGAAAAAAAAAAGAAAACCCAGCCTGTATACTTGGAACTTCTTCCTCTTTCATCTGTTTACGCTTACTGTCTAGTAGCTGTTCTGTTTCTTTGGAACCTATTCCTTGTCTGTTTTCTTTCATCTGAAATCCAGTATGTTTACTTGGAATCCCCTCTCTGTTCCATCAACCCATGTTGAACAATTAGGTCCTGAAGCCCTACCAATTAAGAGGGTTTTGCTCTTTGTTAGACTCATAGGTAATAAAACCATTTTATGCAGTAGACACATTTTCCCACCACTGTGTTGCTTGTAAATTTTGAACTATTCATTAGGGATGGAGACTGGATTTTCTTTAGTTTTTCAAAGTGGAATGTGATGATTCTGAGGCTCTATCTTGTCTAACAAGTGTAGTGATGAGTTAAAGGCAGCCACCCTGGCCATGGTTGCAGCATGTGTTTTGTGTATTTGCTTTCTTTGTCTTGTGCACTCAGCTTTGGGTCACCTTCCTCTTATCTTGAATAGCTGACTTTCTCTGGTACCTCCCGCTTTAATCGTATCTCTCTCTTTTTTTTTTTTTTTTTTT